CAGTAATTATTTCACAGGGAGATAAAACTCTCATAGCCCTAACTGTCAAATAGGGCCCTTTTCAGATTTTAATTACAAAATAAAATTAGTCTGCTCTTCCTCGGAATGGTTTGTGAGTGGTTAAACAGAGCTTTCCCCCAATACTGGTGGTCGTCAAACTCTGCTAATTAGCAATGCTGAGAAATTCCAGTTAACAAGGACATTCTCCAAGACTCCGCAGGTTCCCCGCCGTTTGCCTTCATTTCCATAAGAAGATTAAGAGAGGAGGGGAACCCACTCAAATGCAGATGCAGAAAAGGAACGTTTTTTAACAAGCATCATAATAGTAAGATGCTTGGCTAGTTCTCACCTAATTACTGCAAGTTAAACCTCTATTTGCCACTCAAAAGAAAAAATAAGTCTGCAGTCCCCTATCTCCACAAAATTGTGAGTTGGCTGCAGACAGAACACTTGAGGACCGGTGGGAAGAGTTCAGCAAGAATCACTACAAGATACGCTTTAGCAAAATTGAGTTACACTTTGCAGTTAAGGCTTTTGGGCTTGCATCTATAGAACAGAATCAAGTAGGAATATCCCAGGAGTGATGCTTTTTTGGCTCTTAGTTGCCAAGCTTACTCTCAGATGTAGCTTTTTTTTTTTTTTAACTTCTGTGGAAGTATCCCACTCCCTTTAGACTGAACATTTCCAGTGCTCATAAACGGGGCCAATGGTAACATGATAAATTCACAGAGAAGGCAACACGCTGTTTCAAGTCTTCTTTTTAAATTGTCTGTTAGTATATAGCTGCTAGTGCCAGGGCTGCCTACTGCAAGCCACAAACAGAACTGTCCCTGTCATCACTTGGCCTTGTTATCGTTATTACATTTAGGGGGTGGGTGGGTTCGAGTGCTGGACTGGAGGACAGTGCCTGGTGATCTGGTATTTTTAAATACCTATGTTCTTAAAAAAAAAAAAAAAACTAATGAGAAAATTACTTCTGCTATCACGATCTTCTTTAATCTTATTTTCACAGCACACGATTATGCATAAATGCCAGTCATAGTTCGTTTATTGCCCCATAAGTTCAGTAGGCTTAATTAAAATAAAGCTGTAAATAAATGCAACCAAATGCTAACATGATTGTAATGTATTTTCATAGCTTATTTATATGATAAAAGCAATTAGCAAAAAACCTAGCCAGCCCCCTTAACCTCTTAAATGTATTATTATAGAGTTCAGGCACAGACATATGCATCTGAAAATGTGGACATGCTTTGGTAAATCTTCCCCAGGGGAAAAAAAAACAGAGTGCCTCTTTTACTATTATCTCCTGAGAGAAATACAGTGAGATTTAAAAAAAAAAAGTGCCCCTCTAGCCATCCGTTATTAATATCTATCTTAATAAATATACACCACCATTATAATAACACGAACCAAACCCTCAGGTTTTTTTTTTTCTACAAACTTAATTATCCATAAGCTTCTTTAAGTTTTCATAATAATGCTATTAAATGCAGACCAATGCATGCTCAATCATAAAGTGAATGTTTGGTCTGCCCTCAGCGCCTCCTGGACAATCACAATTCATTCATATGTTGAATCTCATAATTTGTACCTTTTTTCCCGTGCTTTAACCTCTCACTTATCTCCAAGTTGTATGTACATTTCTAAGTTAAGCAAATTAAATTCGATTCTTATGATTTGGTTCTGTCGCTTATATGATACGTTAACTTTTCTTCTGTTTAGATTATGTGTAATTAGTGTGATCTTCCATTCCTTTTTTTTTTTTTCTTTTCTTTTATTATTTTCAAACACTTTCATGTGAAGGTAAAAGCTAGCGCCTCAGAAAAATGAATCCACCAGCAGGGGGCGCAGCAGCCACGTCCCTGAAACGAGCCTCGCTGAAAAGCCGGTGCCGCCTTCGCTTCCCCACATCCTCCCCCAACCTTTCCTCTTTCCTAATCCCCAGGTCCGTGTTTAGCTTTCATACCGCACCTAGATTTAAACTGTAAGCATGGCTTCACTCTGAAAAACACTCAACATACTCCCGTCTCGAAAAGGCCCGTGGCACCTTTCCTAGTTCCCCAAAACTTAGAGTTTGCAGGGGGAAAAAAAGAGAGAGGGCAGAGGACAGGAGGAAGGGGGTTGGGGAAGGGAGAGAGGGGGACTGGCTGGAAATAAGTTTACGAAGAAATCACGCAGGATCTCCAGTGGGCATGCTTGTCCCAAGTGGGACACGACAGGCCGTCCTGGCAGGGGAGGGATTGGGGAAGTTAGGGAGCGGTGGCGTAGAGCCAGGTTGGTGAGCAAGGACCCACAGGGCAGTTTCTGTGAGGATGATAAAAGGAACGCGGCCCGCAGACACTGGGCCATTTCCTTGGGGTGAGTGAGGCTAGGTCAGGGGAGGAGGTGGCGAAGAGCGTTCGCAGAAGACAGAAAATAAGTAACCCTGACGGTTTTAAGCCCTTTAGCAAGAAAAGCAATGGCATCAGGGTTTGGTTGCCCCCACCCTTTTTCCTCCTCTCCAACCACCTCCCCCCTCTTTGTAGTCAAGTGCATTTTAGCCACAAAGATCCCAACAAGAGAGTGGAAGGAAACTTAGACCAGGCTTTGTTTGACTCCTTGTAGCGACAACAAGAGAAACAAAACTACCTATTTGTAACGGACGTGCTGCTCTCGCTCTCCGCTTTGAGCGCCTACCTATTGAAATCTTTACGTCGGGACAATGGCAGAGCGGCTAAAATTACCCTCTTGGGTCCTGGGCGGGCAAGATTCCTGAGCCCCTTACCCCCGCCCCCAGCCCATCCGGCTCCCCACCGCCCCCAACGCACACCCGGCCCTTGCACCCGCCTGCGCCGCCTGCACCTGTGCCTGCCGAGCCGCGCGCGCCCCCTCCCCTCCCGGCGCCCCTCGGCGGCGCGGCCCCTGACCCGCTCTGCCCCCCGGGCTTCCCGGCCACCTCCGGAGGAGTCTGCAGGGCCGGAGGGGTGGTGGGGACGGAATGCCAGCCAGAGAGACCCTCCCCTGCTCTCCCACCCTCCTAGCCTGCCGCTCGGGCCCTGGGAACTCTGCGTGGGAGGGAGTGCGTGAGTGTGGCCCAAATGCCACCGCCGAGCACCAAGTACCAGGGCAGGCCAGGAAGTTGAAGTCACCCCACATCCCCAACCGCAGCTCCGCGCCTGTGCTGCCCAGCGTCCTCCCACCCCACCCCCCACTCCGCGGGGGGGACTGGCACCAGTAAAATCTGCCTGCGGAGGGTGGGGGAAGAGTGCGAGCATCTCCTTGGCACCGTGCGCGGAGACAGACCGCGGGAGGCGGGAGAGGCCGTGGGGACAGCAGGGTCTGCGGGAACCTCCTGGACCCGGGGCCTGCCTGTCCTCAACTCTGGAACCGCTGGGAAGCAAGCCAGGAGGGTTTGAGAACTGAAGGAGGAGGCTGGGGGTTGGGATGGTTAGGCTAGGGGTCTCCTTCCTAACTTCTAACCCGGACCTGTGCCAGGGATGAGCCAAGCACCTGTGAAGGCCCTAAGGGGAAGAAAAAGCCCTAAATGTGTGTGTGGAGGGTGGGGTGGGGGTGTCTTGGTGGCAGGGCAGCAGGAGTGATAGGGCCCCCGCCCTCCCTAGGGCCCTGCGTGCATCTAAAAGTACTTGTGGAGTGGTTTGGAAAGGGTGTGTGTTGGGGGTGCATGCGCACCCCCAGGTAGTCTGGGGCTGTTCCCCCACCCACCCTTCCTTCGCAAAGGCGTGTGGCGTGACCTGTTGCTGTGAATCAGGATACAAAGATTGCACGGCAGCGGGCGGCCAACACCGGGGAGACGCCTCCCCCGCATCTCCGGGCTGCCCGCCGCGCCGCCCCCGCCCGCGCCCCGGGCTCCCCTGCGCCCTGACTTCCTTGCACCCCAGCTCCCCAGCGACCCGACTCTCCAGCTCCCCTGCGCCCTGACTCCCCTGCACCCTAGTTTCCCTGCGCCCCAGCTCCCCTGCGCTCCAGCTCCCCAGCGCGGCCTCGACTCCCCTGCGCCCCGGCCCCTCTGCGTCCCGACCCCCCTGCGCCCCAGCCCCCCTGCGCCCCGACTCCCCTGCGCCCCAGCCCCCCTGCGCCCCGACCCCCCTGTGCTCCGGTTCCCCTGTGCCCCGACCCCCTGCGCCCAGACTCCCCTGCGCCCCGAACCCCCTGCGCTCCGGCCCTCCTGCGCCCCGGCCCCCCTGCGCCCCAGCCCCCTGCGCCCCGACTCCCCTGCGCCCCGATCCCCCTGTGCCCCGACCCCCTGCGCCCCGACCCCCCTGCGCTCGACTCCCCTGCGCCCCGACTCCCCAGTGCCCCGAACCCCCTGCGCCCCGACTCCCCTGCGCCCCAGCTCCCCAGCGCGGCCGCCGGTGCGGCAGGCCCCGCCCCCTTTCATGCAAAACCCGGCGGCGAGGCCGGGCCCGAGTGGAGGAGCCGCCGCGCGCTGATTGGTCGCGAGAAACCCATTTATTCCCTGACAGCCCCCGTCACATGGACGGTTGTCTATTAACTTGTTCAAAAAAGTATCAGGAGTTGTCAAGGCAGAGAAGAGAGTGTTTGCAAAAGGGGGGAAAGTAGTTTGCTGCCTCTTTAAGGACTGAGCGAGCAAGAAGAGGACAGAAAGAAAGGCAGAAAGAAGTTTGAGTCCGGGGCTTAAGCCTTTCCAAAAAATAATAATAACAACAACAATAATAATAATCGCAGTCGGCGGCGGCGGCGGCAGCGGCGGCAGCAGCGGCGGCGGCGGCAGCAGCATCGGCCCGAGGCGGAGGGAAGCATTGCTTTTTTGATCCCGATCCCAGTTCGCTTCTCTCTCTCTGTCCCTTCCTTCCTCCCCTCCCCAAGCTGCTCTCCTCCGCCCGGTCTCCTCGCGGAGCCCCGCGCTCTCCGATCACCCCCCGCCCGCCTCCCCTCCACCTCCTCCTCCTCCTGCGCCCCCCGCCCGCCGGGCCCCCCGAGTTCCCGGCCGCGCCGAGGGTCGCCGGCCGCCGGCGGGCCGGGCCCGCGCGCACAGCGCCCGCATGTACAACATGATGGAGACGGAGCTCAAGCCGCCGGGCCCGCAGCAGACTTCGGGGGGCGGCGGCGGCGGTGGCGGCGGTGGCGGCGGTGGTGGCAACGCCACGGCGGCGGCGGCCGGAGGCAACCAGAAGAACAGCCCGGACCGCGTGAAGCGACCCATGAACGCCTTCATGGTGTGGTCCCGCGGGCAGCGTCGCAAGATGGCCCAGGAGAACCCCAAGATGCACAACTCGGAGATCAGCAAACGCCTGGGCGCCGAGTGGAAACTTTTGTCGGAGACGGAGAAGCGGCCGTTCATCGACGAGGCCAAGCGGCTGCGGGCGCTGCACATGAAGGAGCACCCGGATTATAAATATCGACCGCGGCGGAAAACCAAGACGCTCATGAAGAAGGATAAGTACACGCTGCCCGGCGGGCTGCTGGCCCCCGGCGGCAACAGCATGGCCAGCGGGGTCGGGGTGGGCGCCGGCCTGGGCGCGGGCGTGAACCAGCGCATGGACAGCTACGCGCACATGAACGGCTGGAGCAACGGCAGCTACAGCATGATGCAGGACCAGCTGGGCTACCCGCAGCACCCGGGCCTCAACGCGCACGGCGCGGCTCAGATGCAGCCCATGCACCGCTACGACGTGAGCGCGCTGCAGTACAACTCCATGACCAGTTCGCAGACCTACATGAACGGCTCTCCCACCTACAGCATGTCCTACTCGCAGCAGGGCACCCCCGGCATGGCGCTCGGCTCCATGGGCTCGGTCGTCAAGTCCGAGGCCAGCTCCAGCCCCCCCGTGGTTACCTCTTCCTCCCACTCCAGGGCGCCCTGCCAGGCCGGGGACCTCCGGGACATGATCAGCATGTACCTTCCCGGCGCCGAGGTGCCAGAGCCCGCCGCCCCCAGCAGACTGCACATGTCGCAGCACTACCAGAGCGGCCCGGTGCCCGGCACGGCCATTAACGGCACACTGCCCCTCTCGCACATGTGAGGGGGGCCCGCCGGACAGCGGACTGGAGAAGGACTGGGGGCGGGAGGGGAGCTTGGGGGGTGATAGTGGGGTGGGGAGTAGGGGAAAAGACATTTTCGGAGGAAAAGGAAAAAAAAAGAAAAACCGGGAAATGGGAGGGGTGCAAAAGGAGAGAGTGAGAAAGAAGCATGGCGAAAAAAACAAACGCACGCAACAAAAATCCTGGTATGCTGACAAAGAAGAAAATTTCATTACCCACAGCAACTGACAGCTTCAAAGGAGACCACCAATCCCATCTACGCTCAGCGCAAAACCCACGACTCCGACGAGGAAACTTTTATGAGAGATGCTGGACTTCTTTTTTGGGGGGACTATTTTTGTACAGAGAAAAAACCGGGGCGTGGGCGGGCTGGGGAGGGTCGGGGGAATGGACCTTGTATAGATCCGAAGGAAAAGAAAACTACACACAACTTTTTAAAAGTTCTAGTGGTACGATAGGAGCTTTGCAGGAAGTTCGCAAAAGTCTTTACCAATAATATTTAGAGCTAGTCTCCAAGCGACGAGGGAAAAAAAATGTTTTAATATTTGCAAGCAACTTTTGTACAGTATTTATGGAGATAAACATGGCAATCAAAATGTCCATTGTTTATAAGCTAATAATTTGCCAATAATTTTCAAGAAGCAGCTTCTTGCTGGATTTTGATTTCTGCAGCTGAGTTCAGGAGAGTTGCAAACGTGGAAAGAAGAGAAATAATTCGATTTGGACATTTTAATTGTTTTTTAAAAATTGTACAAAAGGAAAAAAAAAACAATCTAGAATAAGTAACTGGGAAAACTATCTCCGTGGTCTTGTTTTTTAAAAAGGGCAAGAGTTTTAGATTGTACTAAATTTTTTTTTTTAACTTACTGTTAAGCAAAAATGGCCATGCAGGTTGACATCGTTGGTAATTGATAATAGTTTTTGTTCAATCCCAAACTTTCCATTTTGTTCAGATGAAACAGCAATGACATAAAATTACTGTGTTTGAAATATTTTCTTATGGTTTGTAATATTTCTGTAAATTTATTGTGATATTTTAAGGTTTCCCTCCTCCCGTTTTATTTTTTCCGTAGTGTATTTTAAAAGATTCGGCTCTGTATTATTTGAATCAGTCTGCCGAGAATCGTGTATATATTTGAACTAATACCATCCTTATAACAGGTACATTTTCAACTTAAGTTTTTACTCCATTATGCACAGTTTGAGATAAATAAATTTTTGAAATATGGACACTGAAACCATGCTTGAGTCTTTTTATTTGGAGGACACAGATGGTATAAAAATTCCTGGGGGGGGGATTATAATACTGTGCTCAACCTTGGCAAATGAAATTTTGGAAGCCTTGGTATGACTGTCATGACTAGTCCAGCACCGTGCACTAATGCTAACTGTGAAGCGGCTGGAGGATTAAGTAGTGTGTTCTCGAGGGGAGGGCGAGAGGGAGGGAATTTTGAAATGCTTATGTCTTTTCTAAAGTAGAAAGACGCCTATTGTAAACCTATGTCTGCTTTTCTAGCAACTCATATAGGCCCGGTGGGGACTAGGACGAAAAACTGATTTATGCCACTTGTTGCCATAAAGCAGTCGATTCTTAAAATTTTCCTGTGGATTAGCAGATGGGGTATTGAGCCAAATCAGAACCAGGTTGGCTGGTTTTGTTTTTCATTTTCTTCACAGCACAATGGTCCTTTGAAACGTGGTTGTAGGGGGGAAAGTGATGCTTCTTGTATCGGAATAATTGCAAACTAGACATGCAAAATGTCCATCTACTGGGTGAGTGTTTGGATTACTCTGGCCTTGCTATTGTGTGTGAGGAAACAAGTGGTTTGCTTTCTTTGTTCCCGAACTTCCTAAACTTTCTCCTCTACATTTTTTCCAGTTTAGGGGGTGAGGGAAAGCAAAGAACATCTTGGAAAACTTCCCTAACTTTTCACGGATATATAGTTGGGGTTTTTTCTTTTGTTATATTTATTTTCTTTTCCCCTTTCTCTTTCTCTCCTCCTTCCCTGAATTCTATTTCTTAAATTGGCAGCGCGGGTTCAAGCGTATAGCCCCCAATCGGATAATCTGTGCAGCTGATAACGAGCCAAAGAGAAGCCAGGCAAGAACCATATTAAAGAAGAAAACAATCAACTCTGAGGTAGATATTTTACTTTGTCTGGTCTAATCACATTTTGAGATGATTATGCATTTGGTCTGTTAACAGTGTTTTTACGATAGCAGCAGAGAGGTGGGGGAGGGGAGGACAAGGTTGGATTTGTTGTTTTCTTTTGCCCTAGGAAAGGTAAAGGAAGGCTGTAGTTGTTCCCGGTGGGAGCGGAGAAGTTGGGGAATCGCCACGGTCTTTGAATTAGCGATACTTGGGCATCCCAACCGATGCCGCGATGGGGCGCAGCCGGAGGAGCCAGCACCCGGCTCCGGACTTTACTACCTGCTCCGCTCATCTCCCTCCCCCTCCCCTACCCAGGGGGACCAGGACCCCACGAGTCGAGCTTGCTCGAGAGCGCGAGGGTTTGCTTCCCACCATTTCAAGGACGTGTCCTGTCAAGTTGCTACAACTTTGTACAAGTTGGAATCCCGCTGCACCTTCGGCCCTTCAGTCAAGTGCCCTCTGCAGCCGCTACCTTAGCTCAGCTTGCTGGTTTCCAGCTTCTCGCGCCCAGGACAGTCTTTTCTCGCTTGTGCTGGTGTTAGTTCTAGGAGAAACTGGTACTGCCTCCTATATTTCTTGCATTTTTCGTTTATTATGCTTTGCTTTATTTTACGTGTGGATTGGTCTTTATCGATGATTTATATCACTTTTAGGGTAATGTGCTGGAAAGGAACAGTTATTCCAGTTCCCAATTCTAAGCGATGCATATCACCCCCCCCCCTAATTAATGCACAGACTCTAAAAGAATTTCCCCTGGCCTGGCCTGCCATTGTAATGCATATACGGATTATTCACGTGGTAATGAGCCCATTCGACAGTTCTTGCTCACACATACGAATAAAAGAAACTTTGAATAAAGATCCGAATGATCACGCTGAGGGAGAAGGGAGGGTATTCCCGGAATCTCAGCCAATCAACTCTATAGAATGTACAATTTGAAAAATAAAAATATGGTAGAAACATATACAGCATAAAGCAATTAGCTAACTTAAAGTAATTGCACTAACCTTAGAAAAGAAAAGAAAATGTATAGGATCAGACTAAAAAACAACTTTGTGCCAAAATGTTCAGGTTCAAATGTTCTAAAAGGGGGAAAGAAACAGTATTTTAGGAAGTTGAGCTAGTTTTAAATGATTGTGTTGGTCACATAGAGTGAAGAGAACTCGGATCCTCCCTCTTAAACCAAATAGTTGAGGAATGAAAGCCTTCTTGGGGTTTGTCTTTGCAAATTTAAATGCCTTTGGTACACTGTTTCTAAAGGAAAAAATGATGACCCGTATCTGCTCTCATCTCTGATTAGATTAATTTATTGCCTAAAATGTGTGATTTTGTGGCTAGATTAGTATTGAACATAAATTTTTCTTTTTTTACATAATCTGATTTTCTCGAATGGGAGTAAACCCCTAAAGTTGATCCTGGATAGCAATTTGCTTCCTGATACTAGATAGTTGTTAAATATTTAGTTCTGTCCTGGAGATATTGTTTTGCTCAATGAAACCACTTAATGTTCAGTCAAAAGGGGTGAATTTAAATGTTTCATTAACCTTACACGCAGAATAGAAGTGTGCAAAAGGATGAGACTCCAGTCTGTTCTCTGTGATTTTTTTTCCCTCTACCCACACCACCTCCCCCCCCCCCGCCCCATACTTTGAATAAAGAGCGTTCAAATATTTTGCTGAGCTGTAGTAGATTAGCAACGTTTCTTGCCAATGCTGGGAAGCTGGTATTACAGACCGTCCCAGGGGAAAGTGGTTCACATTAACCACTAAATGAATATTTGACAAGGGCTCATTCTGAGGTATTATTACTATAAACGTGTCCCTACTGGACTTTTCAAGGGTCAAAGAACAACGCTTCAATTAATTATTTAGACTGCGAGTAGATTTGGTAGTAATAGCTGTATTTATTTCTAGAAACCGACACATTCTTACAGCAGGAGAATCTCAGGAGAATCTGTTCCACCAAAAATACCTGGGGTTGAAATACATATTGAGCCCTGGCATTCTAAAGCTGACTTTTCAGAAATCTCCTGCCTATTTTGAGTGAAAACAGGATTGGGGGGATATAATCTCTTGTGTTTCATAGACTATTTTCCATCAAAAGAAACAATTAACACGATTTTATTAATTTCTACATTATATTTGGTGGAGTTTTTTTTTTTTTTAATCTTACAGATATGGCCTGGGGAAGAAGGTAGGGGTGCTTACTATAAACCTTCACTTTTTAAAAAGTAGAGACATCACAAGATTTCTGAAAATAAGGAGGCTCTAAACTTAGGAATTTATTTTCCAATAAACTGGAGGCTATGAAATATAAGGAAGGAAGCATAGTGTGAGTATTCTGAGTTCTAGTAGTCACAAACCCAAACTGGGGTCCAAGATAGTTCCCCTCCCCCGTCCACACCTCTTGGTCCGAGCACCGTGGGGTAAGCGTTCTATTTTGCCATGTCACAAGTTCCCCCGTGGTCCTAGGTAAAGTGGTAAAGGAATGATTTTGAGAGTAAGATTCCTTGACAATAATATAAATTGAATGAATAAGAGATAAGCTGTGAGTGGAGGGGGGGGGGCGGGAAGCAGTAATTACAAACCAAATTCATTCAGCTTTTCAGAACTTTTGTTGTGGGAGCTCCATTGACTGGGTTTTGAGCTGCCAGTTTTCTCACATTAAAAAGAACCGATCAGCGCCTCGGGGGACAAGGAATACCGCTTAACTGCATAGTGATGGGGTCTTCATTTAGAACGATTACAAGAAGAAAATTAAACAGTGCTTTTGTATGCACAAGGTTTGCTTTTCAGCTGCTAACAGTTTATAGCTAACTGCTCTGAGATTGAA